CGAGATGTCCGTATGTCACGGTCATGATCAGGGATCCGGAGTATCTGGCACAAGAATTGATCGTCAACTGGACCATACTTCACAAAGGCATCCTTGAAATGGGTACGAACGCTTCGGTGTGATGCTGCAGTGAGTCCCTAGTGGCACCTAAGAGATCGATGACTAGTTCGTTTGCATGGCGAGAGTATATCTCGTGGTACGAGATGGAAACATCGGCCCTAAGGACTTGATGGAATATCTTGCGATGTTGTCGTAAAGTTTCCCCATACGGAAGCATCACAGTATTGAAAGTTATTCCAGCTCTGCATCGTCAGTAGATGAAGAACAAGTTGAACGGAAACTGGTAATGCATACAATTCGTTGGTGCGAAGAGCGGGACGGTCAGAGTAATTCGCAGAACGCTTTTCCAGCAACTCCTGGGCGATAATTTCGGAGTTTATAATGATCATGTCGATCCCAAATACACGGGAGCGGAAGATTTTTCCTACGATCAGGCATGAAATCAAATCCAGGAGGTTGGCAAAGAGCCTGGTCTACTACTAACCATATGTCTTTTCCCACGCAGTATATGTGAGCCAAGGACGTTTAGTATCCAATTGCAGCGCGTTGCCCAAAAATGGTAAGGGACGAGGACCAGGTAGCAGAGGGAAAGGGGAGACATGTCTGCGAGTCAGACGCAAAGCGACAAGCAGGGCAATAATGCACGATATTCCTAGAGTGAAGAGCATGGGAAGGGATTATGGTCGAGGCATGATGTGAGTTAGTTCGCCTTATTATACTATCGACGGCTTGCTGCAAACTGACGATTCAACAATTGAATGAGTCAGAGTGAAACCATTAGTTACATATATAGCTAGTAGATGCATCAGATACGTACCCTCACGTAGTATGAGCTCAAGAGGCGTACTTATATGGAGGACACTTGATTATACTATATATAGAAGCTTAGCGAGAAAAACAAAGTGAAACCCCACTATACCGTGTTCTGAGTTTGCGCCGTAGTTGATAACGTCGTACCATCACGTAGTATATCGTACTTGTATGGACACACTTGATTCTACCATATATAGAAGCTTAGTCGAGAAATGTTCAAACCCCGTGAAATCCCACTATGCCGTGTTCTGATTATGTCTGATACGTACCCTCGTGACCAGTCCGTCTATAACCCCCCTTCCCGCCTAACTTTCGCACGCCGTAAACCCCTCTTCGGTGATTCTGAATCCTAGTAACTGCCAGCCCATCTGCGAAACACACTGTTAATTGGCGAGAGCCGCGGGGCATAAGTTGCTGGATTCCACGTTCAACAGCATAGGACACGGGTTCTCATCGTCTGTCGAATATTCGTTGTTTGCAGATAACCGCGGACGATGTCTAGATTTGTTCGTGCATCTAAGTATCGGTGAGTACATGCCCAAGATTGCAGCACACCAAGAGACTGATCAACGATCGCGTCTCCCACAGCCATGTCTTCGGACAGGCAGCCAAGAAAGAACATGGATATGACAATGTGAAGGTCTCCGGCAGCGCATGGGATACGAATCTTGTCTCTGCCTCTGGGGTGACCACTTTCCTTCTTCACGTCCGTCCTTCGCTGACATACCACCCCAGCGATACATCAGCGTTAACTGGAATGCATCCGGAGGTGGCGCATTTGCAATACTTCCCCTCCCCTCCCCTTTTGCAGCTGTCCCAAATTTCCCGCACAAGCTTCCTGATGTTATTCCCCTCGCGCGCAGTCACACCGCCCCCGTCCTCGACACTGATTGGTCCCCACATAACGACTCTATCGTTGCCTCTGGCGGCGAAGATGGAAAAGTCATGATTTGGAAGGTCGAGTCTTCCGCTTTTGAAGACTGGGGCCAGGATCATTGGGTACCGGAAGACTTTGACCCTGTCGCCCGGATCGATGCATCACCACGCAAGATCGGCCAAGTTCTCTTCCATCCAACCGCGTCTAACGTCCTCGCCAGTGCTTCCAGCGAACACACAGTTAAACTTTGGGATCTTGCTGATACTGATCGCCCACGTTCTGTTCTCACCGGACACAGCGATACCATCCAGTGTCTCGCCTTCAATCCTACCGGCACGCTCATGGCGACGACCTGTAGAGACAAAAAACTTCGTCTATTTGATCCTCGTGTTGGAAGCGAAGCTGTTCGCATCACTGAGGCACATGGCGGTATCAAGGGCGCTCGTGTCGTGTGGATGGGTGATCTTGACAAGATTGCGACTACTGGTTTTAGCAAGATGAGTGATCGTCAAGTCTCCATCTGGGAAGCTGGAGGTCTTGGAAGTGTCAAGACGATAACTATCGATCAGTCTGCTGGTGTCGTCATGCCTTTCTGGAGTGATAATGGCATTCTTTTCTTGGGTGAGCGCCTCGCATGTGCTTAGGACTCGTCTTTTCTCACATTATCACTTCTAGCTGGCAAAGGGTAAAGTGGAATTGAATGTGTTTGTTATTCGTGGTTAATCTAAATCCAACAGCGATGGAAATATCCGGTACTACGAATACGAAAGTGACTCGCTATTCGCACTAGCAGAACACAAATCTCCGGATCCCCAGCGGGGAATATGTTTCCTCCCTCGTCGTGCCCTTAACGTGTCGGATTGCGAGATTGCCCGTGCGTACAAGGTGTCAGGCTCATCCGTGGAACCCATCGCTTTCATCGTGCCTCGCAAAGTAAATATTTTTTGAAAGACTTACGATAGCTTCACTGACAGTATTACCAGGCGGACTCATTCCAATCCGACATTTACCCAGCTGCAGCCTCGTCAGAGTCTTCTCTCTCAGCAAGCGAGTTCTTTGCTGGAAAGACCGCTCCATTAAAGCTCGTTAGTCTCGAGAATGGTGCCGTGTTCAATGGTGCACAATCGACATTCACGCCCTCGGCGCCTGCTCCTGCACCGACACATGTGCCCGCACCCACTGCGTTCAGTGCACCTCCGCCTGTCACTAAAGCTGTTACCATGCCTACACATGTACCACAGACACCAGTGAGATCCGAGTCGGCACCAGTGCCTCAACTCGCTTCGCCTATCTCAGAGTCTCCGGTTATCCTCACTCCGCCAACGCAAGTTGATGATGAAGTACGTTCTCTTGGTATCGATCTTGAAGTTTGACGCTTAAGCTATGTGTAGGGCAAGACCACCGTGTTAGAAGCCGAAGTCGATCGGCTCAATAGTGAGCTCCGCGCAGCACGAGAAAAGATTCGCAACATGGAGTTACAGGTCGAGGGCCTGAAAGCGAATGCAAGAAAGGCCGCTCAGGCTTTGATGGAAGCGTGAGGACCAGTTTGTGAGACTCAGGTCGCGGTGGCTGTAAAGTAAAACAGTACCCTGATGAGACTAGAGGTGCTTTTGGTGTAGATTGATGATCGTGTACATAGTCATTATATCTTGTATAACCTGCATTTCAATGGACGTTGGATTCTTTTATCTACTAAGGATGTTCCGAGCAACGATGGTAGAACTTGTTTTCGTGATGCCTCAACTTTGAAGACTGGTCGCCGCGGTCACGTGGTGTTGGCTGCTTGACTGTGAGCATAGATAAAACTTCAAAATTCAAGAGCGCATTGTCGCTGCAGCACTCAGTGCTCACTACGGTCACCGTTCGAGACACCATCACCATTCCTATTCTCAACGTCAGAAGACAACGCAGTTGAGTTTGTGGTACAAACTCAACTGAATTGTCTTAGGCGATGATCCTCTCCGTAATGATATTTTCTCAGTCAATGTTGCACAGATGCAAAGTCCAGACTGTTGATGACCTCTTTGAGGCCATCTAAGACCTTGAAGAAGAAGCAACAATATGACCATGTTGACGCTGACTATCTCGAGCTATGGCAGGTGAGTGATCTGATGCCTATCAGATAGACCTTCATACGGAAGTGACATCCGCGCACCTTACCTGGTTATAGGTGCGCACCTGATATTGTGCCGCCCTAGGGTGACCCACCCTCCTCGACTCAGAATATTAGCTGTATGTTTTCTTTTGTAGGGCTTGTCACAGCGGAATTTCAGGGCTGACTGTATTCTGGAGTTGGCAGAATATCGAATGTCGGACTAACTGTGCACATGGCTATCAGGTTTCATCAGGGCTGAGCAGGATCATAGTGTACTGTCGCTCGTCGCCTGAACAGTATACTTGGTAGATGTTAGCAACACAGACTAGTGTTTCAACTACATATCTAATGTCAACACCAAGGGAATTTTTGTTGCTGGTATAATGACAAGCTCTTCTTGCTTGAAGCAACCAAGCTGATACAGCTTGGTACTGCATTGTAGGTATGTGACAACCTTGAGCTCTAGGTGGTGTTGGTCCAATGCAGTCCTAGTGCTGCTGTGGTCCGGTTCGATCCAGTTCAGAGGGTCCTGGATGAGAACCGAGAACCAGACCATGGTCCGGTTCTGCAAAATCTTCGAACCCCGAACCGGACCACAGAGAACCATTCTCTGTGGTCTGGTTCGGTTTTTTTCTGGTCCGAACTCGAACTGAACCCGAAAATTTTCAGTGGTGAGCACGAAAAAAAATACATTGAAATACTACTTTACACATCGAGTAGCTACTCCAATGACATAGCTACATACCCATCTCTGCCTCTGTAGTTGCTGAAGATGCTGACATGCCGGGAGGAACATGAAAGTAGGAAGTGAGGGCGGTGCAGTTCTTGGCAATGAAGGCTGCACACTGGATGTTTAGACAGAGGATGGCATCATTTCAGAACAGCGAGAAAACACCTGCACATCCTGAGTGAGAGATGGTGAGTGAGATTTACCTGCAGGTAGTACATATAAATATTAAGTTAGAAACATGAAAAAAAACAATTGTAAAAAGGACTCACTAAGACACTGCGAACGGCAGGCAATGACTTTGATCAGCAGCGAACGGCAGACAACAACTTCGATCAGCATGGCTCGAGTTGAGGGAGGATCAACACACTTATTCACTGTGAACGGTGGGCAACAACTTGGATCAGCATGGCTCGAGCTCAAAGGAGGATTGACAGACTCACTCACTGCAACTCCCCATCCAGAGTCGAGTCTACATGTACTGCATGCGAGCGAGAATGAGTGCCGCCTCTCATGCTGTTCCCATCTCCGGCGCCCTGGTGTCGTCCGCAAGCATTCATGCTACATCAGCACTTGCTGGCATGTGTTGGGCATTTGCGCATGGTGCTGGTGGCATTGGACACAGTGTGGTGGTCATCAGCATGGATTGAGCTCGAACAAGGATTGACACTCATGAACTGCGAATGGTGGGCAACGATTTGGATCAGCATGGTTCGAAAATCTTGTGAGACAGGTGTCCTGTGATAGTTAAAAAAATGAGAGTTTGATTGATTAGTACTAACCTTCAAAAAGGCTAAAGGTAGCCTAATTAACCAATAGTGCAAATCCAGAAGACGACACTTTGACGTCATCATAGTTGAAGTAGAAGTCGACAATGGGTTTGGGGTTCGGAAATGGTTCGGGAAGGTCGAACCAGAACTGGACCGTTTGGGAAGATCTAGAACCGAGAACCGTTTTCCGGTCCGGTTCTGGCTGGCATGAGAACCATGGACCAAACCATGGAGAACCAGACCAAAAGTCCAGTTCGAACCATGGTTCTGGACCGGACCGTGGCAGCACTATGCAGTCCGGCCATATAATTTTTTACATGACACCGGCATTTATTCAGATATTGCAAAAACAATCAAAGGTTATATATCACAACCAGGGATGATAGTGCATTGCCACTGGTCCTCAACTATGCAGCAATGGTCGCTCTCAACAACCTGACCTTCCTTTGCAACGGTAGGTGGATGTTGTAATATACACCATCTCGGCGATAACCGGCAGGCAGTTGCAGTCAGATGTCACAACTTTGCATTTGGCCGATTCGTCGAACTAAGTCCAGGTATTTATAAGGTCAAAACAGAAATAGGTTTCAAAGTTCAAAACTTTTTTCTCTTCTTGGGCTGGTACATATGTTAGAGGGATTTCCAAGGATTAATAGGAGCCCGGAATAAAAGAAAACGGCGGTTGGGATGTGGAGATAATGTCGAAATACCGACTTTTTCATACCTGTGACCAAACTCAATATTCTCGACCTCCAGAGACCCTGGGATCATCACCAATCGATTTCTATGCCTTAAAAACACTGGTACCATGATTTACAGTATCGGTTTTGAGTTAAAACTGACCATAGTAAGATATATGGGGTAGGAGGGGGGAGGAGGACCTTCTATATCTCAACAACCTGATTTTTCCTGACAAAACGGGCTCGACCATCGTGTCCAGGGACATTAAGAGCACTCCGGAAAAATACTTTTAGAGGACAAGCAAGTCATGGGAAGCCTAGAAAAATCGATCTTTGAGGGGGATATCAGGAAAACTCACATATTCTATTCAGGATGGCCTCAAATAGCTCTTATACTATTCTCAATCGCTTTATATGATTGGAAAACAGTAGGAACATACATTTATATACCGGTATTTACATAATATCATGATATATGAGTTTGGGGGGGGAGGGGGACCCTGCATATCTCAACGGCCTGATTTTTCCTGACAAAACTAGCTTTACCATCGTGTTCCGAGGCATCAAGAACCCCCAGGAAACATACTTTTGGAGTCCTTGCAAGACATAGGAAGCCTAGAAAAATCGATCTTTGAGGGGGGGTATCAGGCAAACTCGCACATCACATTCCATATTGGTTCAGAACGCTATCAAATCATCTCAAATCTATTATTATGATCATTAAACACTGGGAACATCCTTTTCACATCAATATTGACATGAAATCATGCCTCTGGGTGAAGTAGGTGGGGGGAGGGGGTAGCATGACTCTCAAACCTGATTTTTTTGGATCAACTCAGCATTTATATGGTCAAAACAGAAATAGGTTTCAAAGTTCAAAACTTTGTTCTCCTCTTGGGCTGGTACATATTTTAGAGGGACTCCCAAGGATCAATATGAGCCCAGAACAAAAGAAAACGGCGGTTGGGATGTGGAGATAATGTCAAAATACTGACTTTTTTATACCTGTGACCAAACTCAATATCATTGACCTCCAGAGACCCTGGGACCATCACCAATCGATTTCTACGTCTTAAAAACACTAGGACCATGATTTACAGTATCGGTTTTGAGTTAAAACTGACCATAGTAAGATATATGGGGTAGGAGGGGGGAGGAGGACCTTCTATATCTCAACAACCTGATTTTTCCTGACTAAACGGGCTTTACCATCGTATTCAGGGACATTAAGAGCACTCCGGAAAAATACTTTTAGAGGACAAGCAAGTCATGGGAAGCCTAGAAAAATCGATCTTTGAAAGGGATATCAGGAAAACTCACATATTTTAATCAGGATGGACTCAAATAGCTCTGATACTATTCTCAATCAATTTCTATGATTGGAAAACAGTAGGAACATACTTTTATACCGGTATTTACATAATATGATGATATATGAGTTTGGGGGGGGAGGGGGACCCTGCATATCTCAACAGCCTGATTTTTCCTGACAAAACTAGCTTTACCATCGTGTTCAGAGGCATCAAGAACCCCCAGGAAACATACTTTTAGACTCCTGGCAAGACATGGGAAGCCTAGAAAAATCGATCTTTGAGGGGGGGTATCAGGCAAACTGGCACATCACATTTGATATTGGTTCAGCACACTATGAAACCATCTCAAATCTATTATTATTATCCTTAAACACTGGGAACATCCTTTTCACATCATTATTGACATGGAATCATGCCTCTTGGTGAAGTAGGTGGGGGGGAGGGGGTAGCATGACTCTCAAACCTGATTTTTTTGGATCAAATAAGCATTGCCATCTCATTCAGATTGGTCAATAACCTCTAGATCAAGTTTGATATGGAGTCAGACAAGTCACATGAAGGCTGAAAAAATCAATCATCGAGTGAGGCAGCATGACAGGGGCAACACAGCTTACATAAGCAAAAGCGGTGGACTTGGGCAAATTTAGAACAACACTTTGACTTATCTAATTTCTGTTGCTGCTGAATATATATGGATGAATTACCTTTGTAATGAGCCTGAGATCGAGTCATGCAAGTGATATAAAGGCTGAAGCAATAGACCTTGTGTTGGAGGCTTCAGCATTCCAGACATTCATAACTTTGAAATGCGATTTTTGAATGAAAATGGCATTGCAATCGTGCTCAGAGGGCTCTCTACCCCCACTTGAAACGTCTATTTGAAGCCAAGCAAATCATATGAAGGTTGGAAAAATCAATCATTGGTCGAGGTGGGCCTGCTTACATAAGCAGAAAAAATGCGGAGGCAGCACAATGAGGTGGTTATGTTTCATGGTGTCTAGAAATATAGTGTTCACATATTTGTAGCTGAAATCGTGGCAGGACAACACTTAAGAGCTTGCTATGTGGAAATGGAAAACAGGCAAACTCATTAGGAAGGACCTGGTTCAAATCCTCATCCTGCCATGATTTCAGTGTTCAAACTGGTTCATCTTGACTCACCAGTATTGATTCACCTGTTTCTATTTCCATATGATGAGCCCTCGAGTTTTTTGTCTTGTATGATAAATAAGACAGCAAGGAGCTCGCTACATTTTTGAATGAGAGGTGAAGAAGGCGAAGGTGGTGATTTTACAACTAGTGCATGTCTAGAATCACAAGGATGAGTTCGCCTATTTTCCAGTTCCATACAGCAAGCTCTGCAATGTTGTCTTCAATGATGAACAAGATAGCAAGGAACTTGCTACATGTTTGAATGCTAAGAAGTAGGTGGTAATTTCGTGACTTGTGCATGTCTAGAATAGATATCAGAACAGTTACATGGACTATGCTTCATCTTGAATCACCTGGATGAGCTCATCAGTCTTCCGGCCATACAAGGGTCCCACCCTTCCCAACCTCGTAACTCCCTCCATCTGGTTGGAGAGGCAGGAAGCTCTGGACTCTATGAAACCTCTCTCGCCCAATGTGCCATTGGTTTGGCTGTGTCTGTCATACAGAATTGCAGGACACTAAGCCAGCTTGCAGCCGCATCATGGCGCACATCCATATGAGGGTCCACCCATCCCAACCTCATATCTCCCTCCATCTGATCAGAAATGCAGGAAGCTCTGGACTCTATCAAAGTTCTCTTTCCCAATTTGCCATTGATTTGACTCTCATGGAGGATGGTAAGAGAAGTCATCAGCTCCAGCAAGTGGTGGAATGCTTGATTAATGCGAGTCATGACGTGGTTGTGAGTAGGCTTTGTCTCTTACTGTCCTCCATGCCAGACACAGCCAACTCAATGGCAAATTGGTTGGCCTGTCTTGCCACCTAATAGTATAATCCCCCATAGGGGGGAGGGGGGTATAATGAGAAGTGAGAAGTGAGAAATATGAGAAGTGAGAAGTGAAATATGAAAAATGAGATGTGAAATATGAGAAATGGATTATGTAATACGAGAAGTGAGAAGTCAAAAGTGAGAAGTGAGAAATCCAAAATGAGAAGTGAGAAGTAAAGTGAGAAGTAAGTGAGAAGTAGTGAGAAGTGATGAGAAGTACATGAGAAGTAAGTGAGAAGTGATGAGAAGTACATGAGAAGTAAGTGAGAAGTGATGAGAAGTACATGAGAAGTAAGTGAGAAGTGGTGAGAAGTAAGTGAGAAGTAGTGAGAAGTACATGAGAAGTAAGTGAGAAGTGGTGAGAAGTAATGAGAAGTGGTGAGAAGTGATGAGAAGTATATGAGAAGTAAGTGAGAAGTGATGAGAAGTACATGAGAAGTGGTGAGAAGTGAGAAGTAGAGATATTGGACAAATACCCCCCTCCCCCCTAAAAAATATTATATACCAGGGTGGAAAAATGACCTCACTTATTCACTAAGACACTTTGCTTGCTTGACTTTCATGAGAAGTGTATGGAATGTATATGTCAAATAAATGAGTGGGAGGAGCTGAGCTCCAGCCTAGGGAATTTCTCCCTAGGCCTAAAATGGACATCTAAGGAGTAAAGTATGACAGTTTTAGAAACACTTGGGCACTCATGTGACTTTCACAGATTTCATTTATCTTGTGTATTTCACCAAACAGGAGACAGGAGGACATGGGACACAGTGGGAGATGGGAGGCAGGGAAAATTGGGAAATAAATCTTAAGAAAAAAGGGAGAACAGTTTTGGAAACGCACAGGCGCTCACGTGGTTTTCGCCTATATATGTTTAGAGCCACATGGTTTTCACTTACCTTGCTTAAAGCTCTTTGTGAAAACTCATGTGGATTTGTCATGTGTTTTCGAGCGCTAACTCAATCACCACTGCAGCACAATATGCAACACAAGTATTTTCCCTATTGTAGGTTCTGTTTGCTTCCTGTGCTGAAGGCAGAATGAGTGTTTGCTAGTATGAAGTGTATGAGAAGTGCGTGAGTAGTCAATTGAGAAATGCATGAGAATTAGATGAGAGGTTCATGAGAAGTATACAAGATGTGTGTGAGAAGTAGATGAGAAGCATATGAGATGTGTGTGAGACATGTGCAAGCAGTATACACAAAGTGCATGAGAAGTCTATGAGAAGTGTGCAATAGTACATGAGAAGTGCAAGAGAAGTAGATGCAAAGTAGATGAGAAGTGTGTGAGACATGCATGAGAAGTATATGAGATGTGTGCAAAGTATGTGAGAAGTATGTGCTAGTGAGAAGGATGCGAGAAGTGCATGAGAAGTAGATGAGAAGTACATAAGAAGTGTATGAAAGGTGTGAGATTTGTGCATGTAGTGTATATGAACTGCATGAGAAGTACATGAGAGGTAAATCTTACAAAGAAAGGGAGAACAGTATCAGAAATGCTCATGTGCTCATGAGGTTTTCACACACATACATACATACAGTAAACAATCAAGCTGAAAATGTAACAACATATGACACAATTCTCCACACAATAAATATATGTCTTGATAGGAAATGAATGACAAAGTATTATGACTTCAATATGTTGAACCTTCTCTAGCCAAATGGCTAATTGTCTAGCAGTCACACATAGACAGAAGGACAGGTTCTAGCTCAGGTGAGGCTCGAGGCAGCCTCCAGGCTACCCACCACTGCCTGCATAGTCTGTGGTGCAGTTTCGGTGTGAGAAGTGCATGAGAAGTTGATGAGAAGTATATAAAGAAGAGTGTCAAAAGTATATGAGAAGTGAGTGAGAAGTGTGGGAAAAGTGTGTGAGAAGTATATGAGAAGTCTTGAGAAGTGAGTGAGAAATCCTGAAAAGTGCATGAGAAGTGTGTGGGAAGTGTGCGAGAAGTACTTGAGAAGTGTGTGAGAAGTGTGCGAGAAGTCTTGAGAAGTGAGTGAGAAGTGAGTGAGAAATCTTGAGAAGTGTATGAGAAGTGTGCGAGAAGTGCATGAGAAGTGTGTGAGAAGTGTGCGAGAAGTGCTTGAGAATTGCATGAGAAGTACATCAGAAGTGTGTGAGAAGTGTGCAAGAAGTGCATGAGAAGTGTGCAAGAAGTCTTGAGAATTGCATGAGAAGTGTGTGAGAAGTGCTTGAGAATTGCATGAGAAGTACATCAGAAGTGTGTGAGAAGTGTGTGAGAAGTGCATGAGAAGTATATGAGAAGTGTGTGAGAAGTCTTGAGAAGTGAGCGAGAAGTGCATTAGAAGTGTATGAGAAGTGTGTGAGAAGTACTTGAGAATTGCATGAGAAGTACATCAGAAGTGTGCGAGAAGTACTTGAGAAGTATATGAGAAGTGTGTGAGAAGTGTGCGAGAAGTCTTGAGAAGTGAGTGAGAAATCTTGAGAAGTGCATGAGAAGTATATGAGAAGTGTGCGAGAAGTCTTGAGACGTGCATGAGAAGTGCATGAGAAGTGTCTGAGAAGTACTTGAGAATTGCATGAGAAGTACATCAGAAGTGTGTGAGAAGTGTGCGAGAAGTGCATGAGAAGTATATGAGAAGTGTGTGAGAAGTCTTGAGAAGTGAGCGAGAAGTGCATTAGAAGTTTATGAGAAGTGTGCGAGAAGTACTTGAGAAGTATATGAGAAGTGTGTGAGAAGTGTGCGAGAAGTCTTGAGAAGTGAGTGAGAAGTGAGTGAGAAATCTTGAGAAGTGTATGAGAAGTGTGCGAGAAGTGCATGAGAAGTGTGCGAGAAGTGCATGAGAAGTGTGTGAGAAGTGTGCAAGAAGTGCTTGAGAATTGCATGAGAAGTACATCAGAAGTGTGTGAGAAGTGTGCAAGAAGTGCATGAGAAGTGTGCGAGAAGTGTGTGAGAAGTGCTTGAGAATTGCATGAGATGTACATCAGAAGTGTGTGAGAAGTGTATGAGAAGTGCATGAGAAGTATATGAGAAGTGTGCGAGAAGTCTTGAGAAGTGCATGAGAAGTGTGTGAGAAGTACTTGAGAATTGCATGAGAAGTACATCAGAAGTGTGTGAGAAGTGTGTGAGAAGTGCATGAGAGGTATATGAGAAGTGAGCGAGAAGTCCTGAGAAGTGTGTGAGAAGTGTGTGAGAAGTACTTGAGAATTGCATGAGAAGTGTGCGAGAAGTGTGTGAGAAGTGCTTGAGAATTGCATGAGATGTACATCAGAAGTGTGTGAGAAGTGTGCGAGAAGTGCATGAGAAGTATATGAGAAGTGTGCGAGAAGTCTTGAGAAGTGCATGAGAAGTGTGCGAGAAGTCTTGAGAAGTGCATGAGAAGTGTATGAGAATTGCATGAGAAGTACATCAGAAGTGTGTGAGAAGTGTGCGAGAGAAGTCTTGAGAAGTGCATGAGAAGTATATGAGAAGTGTGTAAGAAGTGTGCGAGATGTGCATGAGAAGTATATGAGAAGTGTGTGAGAAGTGTGCGAGAGAAGTCTATCAGAAGTAGATGAGAAGTGCATGAGAAGTACATGCAAGATGTAAAGTATAATGGTTGCAGGAACATTTGGGTACTTGTGTTGTTCTGGAAGACAAGTAGTAGATTGCATTTTTACTTTTGTCAAAATTCCAAGCAAGATAGAAACAGAGATAACAGAAAGATGGAAACTGGAAACTGGAGATACAATCCTGTGGTCAGTCCAATATATATGTATATATGTGCATTATCCAATTGAATATCAGGCCTGATAGTTACCGTGTTAGCTTAGTTACTTATAATATGATAAGTATGCCAGAAGTGTGTAAGATCTATGTGATAAATGCATGAGAAGTATATAAGAAGCATGTGAGAAGTATGAGAGAAGTGTTACGCACTCAAATAGATCTGTTATACGGAGCCCTAAGAGGGGCGTCGTCCGCTAACGTTCGTGACGTAACCGGAAGGGTCCGGTGTAGCGACTGAGACTGGCGACGACGAGTCGGCAGATATCAGAGACGCGCGTGTCACGTGACTTCTAAGACGAATGTCTTCAAAGTCACTGACGATCTCAAAGTAAGGACAGTCTTGTCCGAATGATGAGTTGTCGATCGAGGTAGACTTAGGCGCGATGAGCACCTAAGAAAAGATACTAGAGACTGAAGCTGAGGAGGCTTCAGAGGGAAGTATGTTCGAGGGAAGATTGAGTAGATTCAAGTTAGGGAATCTAATAATCAGAACTTCGCCCCCCAGCTTGGGGGGGCAAAAGCTCCTGCCATACAAGGCAGGTCGAAAGCCACCTCCCAAAAGCGTCTTCCCTTTACAGGCAACGTAATTTCCTTATATAGCATCCACATGAAAGCACAGAATGCACTCAGTTCCTCCGAAAGCACACGGAAAAGCACACGGAAAGCACACAGAAAGCTCAGGCAAAGCACACCCTGATTCCCCACACAGCTCTCACACAATGATCTGTACAATATTAAGGCAGGGGAAAGCTATCTCCTCAAAGCACCATCCAACCAAACAACTTCCTTATAGCACTCACAAGAAGCACCGGATCGACCTGCAAAAGCACCTGTAGAAGTACTAGGAAAGTGCTCACTCATTCATCGATAGCCACAATGAGCATCCGCACCGTGAACGTGCCATGTGCCAGGCAATCTTTATCGTTATTGTGCTTTGGTGCTTTCTGTAGGTGCTTTCTTGCACTATTTAGTAAATAAGACAGATCAGTGCAGGAAAGGGTCCAAGAAAGCACTCACAAGAAAGCACTAACATAGCAGTATAATCTGCCACAACAGCAATGAAATTGGTGGCCGTCCGGGACGGCCACTGTGTGAGTGGGCGTCACACATGTTGTGTGGCCTGCAATGCCTGCCGTCCCGGACGGCCACTGTGTGAGTGAGAGTCACACATGTTTTGTGTATGCATCCACGCAGTGGCCGTCCGGGACGGCAGTCACTGCAGGCCACACAGCATGTGTGACGCCCACTCACACAGTGGCCGTCCGGGAAGGCCAAAAGTAGGTGGGCATCACACATACTACGTTTCCACATACTACATTTCCACATACTACATTTCCACATACTACATTTCCACATACTACATTTCCACATACTACATTTCCACATACTACATTTCCACATACTACATTTCCACATACTACATTTCCACATACTACATTTCCTGCAGTGACTGCCGTCCCGGACGGCCACTGCGTGGATGCATACACAAAACATGTATGACTCTCACTCACACAGTGGCCGTCCGGGACGGCAGGCATTGCAGGCAACAAATCATGTGTGACATCCCTTATGTGGGCCTTCCTGGACGGCAGTCACATTGGAAGATAGAAAATTGGGGATTGGAAACAGGGAGAATGGGAGAGACTTAATAATTGGAGAACATGAGAACATGAGATGGGAGGATGGAAAAATGGGAAATAAGAAGGCGGGAGACGGGAGACGGGAGACGGGAGACGGGAGACGGGAGACGGGAGACGGGAGACGGGAGACGGGAGACAGGAGACAGGAGACAGGAGACAGGAGAGTATTTGGTGACAAAAAGGTTACAAATCCTTAAATATGCATCTTATGTCATTATGCTACCAATTGTCATATCCCATATAGTCAAGCTTCTCTTCTGGACTTCGGACCCTTAGATCCGATCCGGTGTGACACTTGAACCCACGTTGGGCGGGAAAAAGTGTCTTTTCCACCTGGGTTGCCCTATCAATAAGCCTTATTATACTTGGTAGTTACGTGTCTCGCCAACCATAATTAGGCTTGGTTTCATCAAATCCCTACACCAGCGTTAAATAGTGCCCCAGCTCCTCAGAATACCTTCAAAAAAACTATGTACACCTCACTATGGTGGGCGTGCGCGCGTGCACATAGGCTATATTCAGTGAGCATCCCGCCCTGCCTCAATTGCATCATATTCCTATTTTAATTCGGCACGCTCGGCAACGCCTGCTACGCTTCCTAATTCGAACCAAGGGGCCCTTCTCATGCTTCCTAGCTCTCCTCATCACTGTGCTCATCGTCCCTGCCGTTCCCCGCCTCCATCGTGCCTTCATTGTTCCGCCTTTGTCGTCGTTGTCGTCAACCTCCTTCGTTCCTGCCATTTCCCACCTCCCTCGTGCCTTCATCGTCAACCTCCTTCGTACCTTTGTCGTCGACGTCCCTCATAGTACCTGCCGTATCCCGCCTCCCTTGTGCTTTTGTCGTCGCCCTCCTTTGTGCATTCATTGTCGTCCTCCTTCGTACCCTGTTTCCCACCTCCCTCGTGCCTTTGTTGTGGTCATCCTCCTTCGTACCTTCGTTGTCGACCTCCTTCGTACCTGCCATTTCCCGCCTCCCTCGTGCTTTCGTCGCCCCAACCCAGTAATGCCTCATGCCTCAGGTGTCGGGAGGGTCAAAGGGCTCTCGAAATCCATCATTTCCCATGGTTTTAGAGGGGGTCATCGCTATTCCAAAGTCCTGGCAGCCGGCAAACAAAGCCAGCGTATGGCAGAGGCAGATTCCAGCCGCCAGGCTGCTATACAAGGTATGTACTATTTTCTTTTTTATCATTAACACTTATTGTTGTATTAGAAATGTCAGCAGAGGACCGAAGCCGCGTTGAAAATATGATGGCAGATTTTGGAATGGATGTGGAGGTGTTCACCCATACAGTGCCTCCAGGTGAAGAGGCCTTTGACCTCAGTCACGCAGGTGGGGAGCATGAGGCATTTGAAGACCTTGCTCATCAACTGGCGGATCTAACTGGATAGTACATATTCACCACTGTGTACAACTCTTCAAATATTAACACCCATTGTAGTCATCACATTGATCCACAAATTTGGGGAGAACGCTGTAGCACTCGAGCTCGCGCTAGGCTTGTATTCAGCCATTCCACGCATCATGTCAAATGTTCGTTGCTCAATATTCACTTCCCGATGCAACCCGACACATACCCGCCGAACACGACACTTTGACCAGCGGACCCGACACATCGGCTGCATCGGACCCGACATTTTTCCCGTGCTCTTGTCCTATCCGTGTCTTGTCTTGTCAGCTAGCCCCACTAGGTGCGTAGTTGATTATTTCGCACATTACTCACATCGTAGCCAGCACTATTACATGTTTTCCCATAGTCTGCAGCGCCTCGTGTTTATTTACATGTACATCAGACCCGAAATTCTTCGGCCACTACTTTCGCCTATAGGGTTCCGGATTTCTACGTACTTATATATATATTGGTACCCACATAGCATATTCATCATCCAAGTAGTAGGGAGCCGTTTCCTGACGCTTTGTGGTCAAACCCGATATTTTCGTAGTTCTTAGTTGACATTGCGAATATTACCGCTCTTTCTATCCGAAACTCCCGTCATTATTGATATTCCGCATACCGCTCGCTATACCCGACAATCGTTTCCCTGACCCGACACTAACCTGCCGAACCCGCACCTGAAACCCGCTAACCCGCTAAACCCAAAAACATCGGCCGACACTTTGGCATCGGACTAACTTATTCCAATAGCAAACCCCTTGGGTCGAACACACTTGTCTACCAAGTATAGCAGACTAGGCTGTGCAAGACCACTACAACATTTTTATAGTGCTGACACTTACTTCGTATAGTATCAAGCATTGTTGTATCTTTACAATGCATCAATACTCAAACCGCTCATTGGGGCCTTCAGATAGATCGTCTCGTTGACGCCTACTTAAACTATCGCAGTCGAGATTCTGGGGATGGTATGCCTGATATTTCAGATCAGGTCCTGTCAGGTGTCGATGCATAGTCATGGGTGGTGCTACATCAACCCACGAAGCCTTTATCAACAAGACCAGTATCGAATATCTGATGGAAACCCTAGAAGATTTTGCTGCTGACGATATTGGTGTTGACGCTGGGATCTGCATCAGGTATCTGACTTGTGTTTGACAAAGATTTAGCTAGCTTTATTTAATGTATAATATCAATAACATATATCATAATTGATTACAGATGTTGCCATCAATGACAGTGTGGTATGGGATGGTATTGGATTATCGTGTCATATCAAGATGTCAATGTACTATCAACCATGCCTGCAATTACAGGGGTAGCTTGCAATGGTAGGGTATATAATCACTAACACTATGCCAGGGGGTGATACTGAATTATATTGAATTATTATGCCTATTCAAGATGCTGCCCAACTACTGAGTGTATCTAGCTTTAGATAGGCAGCTTTCAATGTTGGAAGCTACCATTGATGAAAAAGTGTCAGGGCTTGGTATTGAGTTATCATTGCCCTATCAAGTTGCTCATTCTTTACTGAGGATGTCTAACTTTAAATAGGTAGATTCTAACTGTGGAAGCCACCATCAATTTCAATGTGATGCAGTATGATATTAAATTATCATATCACTGACAGTGTGCTAGTGCACAATAACAGGTTATCATCTTGTAGTAAGGTGCACCTAATATGTCTAGCCTTGTATAGTCAGCTTCTAATGATATAATCTACAATCACTAACAATGTGCCAGCAAGCTGTTGAAAATCTATCAGATATAACCAATGTTATATGGGTGGTTTCTGATGGGGCAAGCACTGACTGCGAGTTGAGCACTGACACCACATTATCAAGCCATGACAAGGTGGCTTCAGTCAGCAGAGAATATCTACCATTATAGGGGCAGGTTGCAGTGGGGGAAGCCACCATTCCTGACCGCAAATTGAGCTCTGACATTACATTATCAAGCCATGACAACGTGGCCTCAGTCAGCAGAGAATATCTACCATTACAGGGGCAGCTTCTGATGCCAGAAACCATTATCAATGTTATAAAAAAAGCTTCTGACATTCGGTTATTTCGCCAAAGCAAGTTACATATAGCTTCATATAGAAAGCCAACATCAATTGCATTAGAATACAGTACAGTTATAAAAATAATGACTAATTGGTGCCAGTAGTGGCTAGCAAGGCAGCACATTTGGCTCAAATCTTGAACAGCGCACTGTTTTTGCTTATAGTGCGCTGTGAAGAAGAATTAGGAAACACGCGACTATGAAAGGTGTAAATGTAGAGATTGGAGCTGACGAGATGCATTACAAACCTTGTCCACCACGTCATCAAGTCAGTAACTTCCTCAATCTCGTCAGGATCCTCTAGTAAGTCAAGAATACTATGATAAAAAATTTCCGAGTCCGTAACTGTGTCAGTACGTGAAAACACCGACAACGAACTTAAGGAAAACTGAATCTGAAGGAGCAATCAGCAGGGGAAGGCATGCATAATGGAATCTATGTACCTGGGTAGCAATATAAGCTAGAGAACCTTTAGTCACGGATTTCATACCATGCAAGTAAGCATTACCAGAGCGCATAGCCTTTGGCTCCCTATCCACCGAGCTCGGAGATGTAAAGACGTGTTTAAAGCCCTGTATATTGCTTAGAGTATGAAATTTACTGGCAATGAATCGAAACTTACGAAAATTAGTATCTCACTTTTGAGTAAACCCTTCCATGGATCATCAGGATCATACTCGTATCCAGAATATAAGAATACGGGCCATTGATCACCACGGACGGCAATTTCACCGCTCTTCAGACTCTGCTTGGTTCTGGGTAGGGTTATGATGGTTAGTCGATATGATGGTGACAAGGACTTACTCTGCGTTTGACCAGTCAAGGCCCGCGGGGCAGAGCAATCTGCCGGTTACTTCATGGTTGAACCCACGGTCCGACTTCATATTTCGGGAGAGGGGCGGTATGAGTGGCTGTCCTCTGGGCACAAGCCACTCGAGGACAGCAGATTTTAGGGTCTTTGTGTCGTCGCCTCGCGCACCAGAGGCTCCTTTACCTAGCTGCAAACAATGAGTACTATGATATTGCAGAATAAAAACTTACCAGTTCTCCCACGTGAATAATATCCTCCTCATCGCCGTCCGTTAAACGAGCTAAAAGACCAGGGTAAGAATCTATTAATTCCATGAACACCCTATGTTCGCGTTGAACGCTCCATCGAAAAAATCTCAAGTCCTGCGACAGATAATTGATAAAATGCACTCACTCCGCTGGATAATCTTCGATGGGAGAGTCCTGTAAGTCTTCAAGTCGCAGTATACCGGCAGTCAGAAGAGCAGGATAATTGCACAGGGCAAACACTGTCCGACCAAAATGCCGGCCGTGAAGAGCAAGGGGGTTAGATGAAGTCCTGTGCAAGACAATGAGGAAGGTACTGTGAACCAAGTGAAATATGACTTGCCCTTTTTTGCGTGGGCCCGAATGGAGCGCGGAACCACAATGCTTGCGTGAAGGATCGCTAGCTTGATTTTCGTCATCAGTCATGACAAGTTAAAGTAAGCAAGCAGCTGAGATACGTGGAGTACATGAGACCTTTATATACCCCCAGTTCAAACACGCTATTACCCCCGACATCCACCGCTATTGATATCGTAACACTGTTGTAGCGCCAACCGCTCAGCGATACTGTGCAGCGCATTACGTCAGCCACAGCGCTATCCACACGTCCATGCATAAATCGGCTGTTGCGGTAACTATCAGCATCATGATACCCATCAATATAGCTGTTGAATATCAAACACCCGACTCACCTTCTCTGGAGCATTTACCACGATGCATCCATGTTGCAAATGACGTTACACTAAGGTAAGTTTTCTTCAATCAATCTGAGCACGCGGTCAACACAAGCTCATTTACCTTAAGGTTCCAATTTCCCTCGGTGTGTGCAATGAGCAACTGTGATGTGGATGACCCTCAAATCGGCACTGATTGCAGGTGAGTGATTATGTATTCTAAAGAAACTCATAAAACTCACCTTGCAGGAAATTCCATCCGAACAATCGATTGGTCGATAGAGGAACACAGACTGCAGGTAAGATTGTTAGAACTTGCAAGACAAGACTTAAAAAATATTCACCTAGTTATGGACAACCGATCCATTAGCGAAGTAGAATCTGAGCTGGATCAAGTCAAGCAAAAATTAAGCACAGCTGAAGATACCATTGTGTACCTTTCCGACAAGATGATGACATACAGGTATAGATGGCTTGAGGAATACTACCGCGCCGATAACCTCGAGCGTCACATGCCTTCGGATGTTTGCCTGCCGATCGTCCCTCAAATTGCCGAGGGTGCCCCTTCTCCTGGCCTCTCTCCAGAATTTTTGGAATGGGAT